GTATTTATTAAGTAATTAAGAAATGTATTAGTAAAAATAATTATGATATAATAAAAATAATTATTGATTAAAAGTAAGATGACTAAATAGTTAAATTAAAATAAAAAATATAAATTATGAATTTTAAAATATGATTAAAGTGTATAATTATATTTCTAAAAAAAATAACAAATTATATCGGACGGACCGAAATAGAAAGAGTGAACAAATTATGTGGAACAGAAGGAGTATATGCTGCGTAAATTATTTATCATTTGTTATCAATTTATATTTAACAATTTTTTTATTATATTAACATAAATTGTACACACTAATGATTAATTGTCTTTCTTTTACATTATAGAAATAATGATAATATTAAGTTACTCACCACCGAATTGTCTTAGATTCAATATTTTATATACCCCTTCCGTCCCCGCATTATTAGAAATAATGTTGATAATTGTAGAAATTTATCACAAATTTTAATTTGCAAGCAATTTTGTAACTGATTTATATCACAATTTCTTGCTTTGATTGTTCCGTTGGTAATATTTATAAAAAAAAAAACCTTAACAATTTAAAATAGCAAAATTTCTAAAATATTTATGTTATGTGTTTTTTGATTATTTCTTCATAAATATTATCCCAAATTTTTTCATGACTCATTTAAGTTGCAACATAAATAAAAAAATATTTTAAAATATTATAAATATTGTCATAATATAATTACTTTAACCTTTTCAAGATACAACATAAATAACAAAAATCCATTACTCAAACCAACTTATATGCTTAGTTACTTAACATAAAACACAATCTCCACCAAATTAACAAAGAATATATATAAGCATGCTTAATAATCATATATTAAGACATCCTCTTGTTGGCTTTTAATTTCTCCAAATATATAAAAATTAATATATGCTTTACAACATCATGTGTAACAAAAAGAAGAAAAGGATGACAACAAAAAATAAATTTTAGCAACAGTCCAATTCAAAACCCTCCAAATCTAAAATCGGAGAAGATCTGCAGAATAGGAAAACAGTTATGCAGACAAATAGCATCGGCCGTCAATATTAGGGATTGATACAACAATCAATTTCCAACTCAAACCAAACCACCACCAAAGACGATAAAATCGACATTAGACAATGATATTCATATTAGAAAAATCCTAAAAATGGAAATTAAAGATCCAAATGAGCTCACATTGAATTTGGTGGTTCTTCGATCTGTCTCTTTTTTGCGCGGCGCAACAACTAACGATCGAGAGAAGATCGAAATGCTCTTGGTGACTTCATAATTATACATCGTTGAGGCTTAAGCAAGAGTGTTAGTGGTGGTGTGACTATGTGTGTATTTGTATATATATATATATAGAGGAAAATGAAGACAAGGAGATTCGATAAAAACAAATAAAAATACTTGCCGGCATAACCATGGTTAATATGATAGGGTTAAATTTAACCATGGTTAATGCTTGTCATGTTGTATTATTATTATTATTATTATTGTGTTAACATATGATATGCATTAAAATTAACAATAATATCTGTTGTGAAAACTATTTTAATATATTGTTAATTTATATATTGCGTTGTATTATATTAATATAAATTGTATAATGTTTATCTGTTTTAAACTAACATATGATATATGTAAAATCACTAATAGTATATATTGCTTAGATTATTTATAATGTATTATCAATTTATATATAACAATATATTTATTATGTTAATATAAATTTGCCGGCGTAACCATGATTAATATGACATGGTTAAATTTAACTATGGTTAATGCTTGTCATGTATTATTATTGTTGTTGTTGTTGTTGTGTTAACATATACAATATGTATTAAAATATATGATAATATGTGTTGTGTGAATTATTATAATATATTGTTAGTTCATTTATTGCATTGTATTATATTAACATAAACTATATCATATTTATCTGTATTTATTATACTAACATATGATATATGTTAAAATCAATAATAATATATGTTATGTAAATTATTTATCATGTATTATCAATTTATATATAACAATTTTTTTATTATATTAATATAAATTATACACCATAATGGCTAATTGTCTTTGTTTAACATATATAAAAAAAATCGTAGTATTAAATTACTCAATAACATTATTGTCTTAGATTCAATATTTTATATAATCCTTCCATTTCCGGACTATTAGAAAAAAAGTTGATATTTGCGAAAAATTATTGTAGATTTTAATTCACGATAATTAAAAATCACGAAGAACAATTTCTATCACAACTTTTTGAATTGACTATACCGTGAGAAATATTTGTAGAAAAAGTTACTAGTTCCTTCGCGCAGGGTTTGAATTAAAGTAACTTTTCGTGACTATTTAAATTAGCAACTTATGTAACAAAAATTGTCCAAGACATTTCTATTATGCGTCTTTTAAGTATTTCATCACAAATATTGTCACGAAATTTGTTCTACCTAATTTTAGTTGCAAACAAATAACAAAAATATTTGTAAAAATTTTAAATTATTACAAATATGTCATAGTATATTTTTCGAAACTTTTAAAGTCATAGCATAGTAACAGAAATATTCACAACTTTAATTATCATTCGAAACTATTTAAAGTAACAATGAAGTAACAAAATCATCTTCAATATCTTAGATATTTCAAAATCCTAATTCCACATTCTTTTTTATATTGAAAATAAAAAAATAAAAAATAGTAACTCTTTACATTTACATTTATTTTGTAACTTATTGACACGAAAATGTCACAATTTAAAAAAAAAAAAAAAATCATGATATTTTGTTGCAACTTTTGTTGTTATATAAAGTCACATAAGTATCTATATCATGGTATTATTTTGTAGTCAAAGAAATGCCATCAATTTACAAAAAGTCACCAACAATATTCCACAAAAATGATTCTATATATTTTTTTTATGACTTGAATAAAAATTCATCAATTTGTATTAAGATCGTATCTTTAGCCTAATATTTTGATAGTGTCCGATAAAATATTCAAGTTACTATAGATATAAAAATTTAAGAATATTATGATTTGCAAGTTAAAAAATATATAAGTAAAAATAATTATAAATTAAATTAAATTAACTAATAATTTAATGTAAAAATTAAAAAAATATATGTTATAAGATTTAAAATGTTATTAAGGTTTATAATCTTTTTCCAAATATAAAATAAAAAATAAATAAAGACAACTTATATTAGACACAACTAAATGAAAATAGACACTGTACATAAGACTGATGGAGTATTAGGCAAATTATTTCAACAAATTATTTCAACATATATATATATATCATATAAAAATGATCACTCCCGTTAATATATGATTGAATTTTGATTATATTGGGACAAAAATATGAATTTTGATTATATTAAAACAAAAATTGATAAGATTTTTATATTTGATTTTGGTTATATTGAAACAAAAAAGATTTTTTTTTCTCAATTATGTAATCAAAATTGAATCCACCGTTATATAAACTCCCGCTTTGCACAGATCCCCCCTCTTTACAAAACGTATTGGGCCAGAAGTCAGGCCCAATAAGTCCAACCTACTAAAGTTAAAAATGACAGGTAGATATTTTTTATTTTATCCTTTTATTTTTTAAAATATAATAATATTTTTTAATATAAATTTTCTGATTTATAATTATTTTAATTTTAATATATAATTATTTTATTATAATATAATTATTTTACTAATACAATTTTTTAATTATTTATCAATTATATTTTTCTAAATTATCGTATTTGTATTTACAGTAAAATGGATATTTTTCGGGAGAGAATAATTTTTAATTATACTATTCCCTCCCTCTCACAAAAAGTGTCTGTTATTATAGATACAGAAATTTAGATAAAATATAATTAATAAATATTTTAAAATATATTAATAAAAATATTATATAATAAAAAATAATTATAAACTAACATTTAAAACAACTAAATAATTTAATTAAAATTTAGAAATTATAAATTATAAAATTTAATATATAATTAAATGTATAAGTATATTTTAATGAAATAACAAATTATACTAAGGGTGTGTTTGTTTGAGGGTTTGGATTTTGAGTTGGGATTTGAATAGTAAAAATTTTGAATTTGAATAGTTGTATGATGTGATATAAATAGGTGTTGATGTGATATTTTGAATGTAAAATTGATTTTTAATATAATATAAAAAATGAAAAATAGGTGTTTGATTTGATGTTTTGGGGGGGAAAATTTTGGATGAATAGTAGGATTTTATCTAAATCCTACAAACGAACACACCCTAAATGAAATAAAAAAGATAAACCATTTATGCAATATGTAAGATAGATAAAAAACGAAATAAAAAAGATAAACCATTTATACAATATGTAAAATAGATGAGAAAGTACTCTCTCTGTCCCGCAATTACAGTCTTAGTTGGATTAGACACGAGATTTAAAAAATATTGATATTATATTGATAATCGATAAAAAGTACGAATAAAAGACTTTTTTGCTGTATTAGTATAAAAAATAGTAATCATTGTATAATAAAAATAAAATTTGTTATAGACTATTTATAAAAATAGAACTATTATTTTAAAACTGATAAAAATAATAAACAAAGACCATTATAATGGGATAGATAGGAGTACTATTTTACTTTATGAATTTGGATCCCATTTCTGCAAAAAGTAAAAGGCCATGTATGATTTCAACTTTCCAAGAATCTTTCCACCTTAGGTCAACCCCTTCAGAATCCTATGTTTATAGGGAAAAGCATAAAGTCAAAACCCCCAAACTTTAACAAATTAATATCATCATTATTATTATTATTATTATTATTATATTATTATTATTATTAGCATTAGGTGCCCACTTTTTCTTTTTCTTTTTTTCATTATCTTATCTTCCTTCCCAAACAAAATTCCTAGCATTCCTCAAAACCTGCAACCCACAGTTTGACTTTCTCCGACACCCAAGACTGAGACAACAGCAGCAGCTGCAAAATTATTTCTTTATATCATCACAAATTATTAAAGCAGTCAATAAACTGACCCATTTTAAAATGCCCTTTTGGAAAGCCATATCTCAATCGAATTGTTTCCTTGACCAAACACAAAATAATATTGTAACCATTTCTTCTCAAAACAAAGCAATAGACTCGATATACATACACACATATATATATATATATCTCTGAAATTAACTCAATAGTTCAATTCTATTCAGGACTGTTTCTCACTGCTTACCATCAATGGCGAGCTCAAAAGGGCCTGCCAAGAGATTCCCCATTGTCATCATCACAAGCTACTTTCGATTGAATTATAACACGGGCTCCGGAAGCAAGCCTGTAACAGACGAAAACGATAAAAAGAAAACCTCAAACTACGTCGCAATTAATTGATATCGTCCAGCAAAGTAACTAAAAGAGTCAGAAGATAACGAAATTTTAACTTTCTTCTATTTTGATCACGTTTTCTTTCTCCGGTGTGCCCGGATTCTTCCGAGGCTCGGCCATCCTCTTGCTCCCACCATTCGACGAGCTTGGGATAGTCGTTCGAGAACTTTCAACCCTATCGGATGAAATTCTGGGCCCATCTGATGTTGGGGATCTCATCGATTCGCACCTCGGCTGCCTGCTCAGAGAAGCTTTAATGGATCTCGGAATGCACTTTGACGGCGCACAGTGTCCGTCTTCCTTGTCCTCGGAGTTGAATTGTTCGGTACTTCTGCAAGGTCGAACGAACTTATCAGTCTCAGTACAACAAAGAGCGAAGAAAACATTAAATCAATAATGAAATAATTGACCTATCCGCGTTGAATGAAGATGATCGTTTCAGAATCGGGACGCCTTCCTTCAACATGCTCATTTCGATCAAACTACCACTGAAGTACTCTTTGTCTTCCAGCGTCATGCCCATCGAACGAGGATTCTCCGCCAGGCAGTCGAGCTCGCCCATCATCAGTGAGGTCGAGAACAACGGCGAGGGAAACTTGGAGTGCGAAAACCTTGGCTTGTAAGTCGGGATTAGGCCGAAGCTGTGATCTTTCACGGAAATCGAACCGCACGAGATTAATTGCATTATCATGTTCGAAGCTTTCAGCTTCGGGTTGGACGACGGCATTCGGAATTCCTCCTCTTCTAGTATTCGAAAGCTGTTGAGCTTCCGAGCATCGGCTCTAATTAGATTCTCTAAAGTATCAGCTCTCCCGCTCGATGAAGATGCGCTTGACGTCGAAGGAGGCGGCGAAACAAAGTCTCGACATATCTCGGAAGTTTCTTTCACCCGATTTACTTGGTTTGGACGCGCTGGACGATTCTCCGAATCCAGCAATCCATCGTCTGTCGAAACGCCTCTCGTGCAAGTATCCTGAGTTCTAACAGCTCTCGCGGAATTTTCCTCAGTCTGAGTCGAAGCATCGGCTAAGCCATCGCTTTTGTACACTTTGTATTCGGCCAAGCTCAAAGAACCATTCCAAGCATTTTTCGCGGCACTGTACTCGGGAGAGACGACCGACGAGCAAGGGTGTCGATCGGGTGGAGATAATTCGTCGTCCTGAGAATTTTTCGCAGTTTTTCCATTCAAGCTGGAGGAAGATGAAGACTCCTCATGGCTTCTGCAAGAGGGAGGCTCTGGAAGCATTTTCTGATTCTGTAATATCACAGTCTCCGCAGGACTAAACCGGCCTACGATAAAAGCAAATGTTTTCAAATTTACCGAATCGAAAATTTATTCATCGATTGAAAATGCAAGTCTAACAACATAGTCCAACTCCATTGATACAATTCTTTGTCAGCAACCATTACCAGAATCAAGTTCTTCGAAGAGCTCGGAACCTTTGAGAACATACTCGTTCCCATGAGCCGGAAGGATCAAATCATTGTCGCAGAGATCATGCCACACAAAACCATTTTTATAACTCCTGCACTCACAAATTTCTTCAGCTAAGTCCAAATTGAAACTATAAAAATCAATCAAGAATCAAAAGGAACACAAACAGAGTCATTTTTACAGACCTCTTGCAAGACCAAGAATATGACGAAGCAATGCCTCTGCCTCTCAAAGCATTAAGCCTTTCAATCACATCTTCAGCAAAAACATCTCAGGAACATCAACAGACAAGCAATAGATGTATCAGGAAATCAATTAAAAGTGGTGTGAACTTTGCTACCTCTCAAGTATAGGCCATCGGGGGAAGATAAAGGCACCTCCATGAAATGGGGATGCTCGAGCTGTCTGTTCCTGCATAGATAATAAATCACAGGCACTTTGCGATTCTGCTGCTGCTGCTGTTGATTGTAGTGGTGATTGTAGTGATATTTTGGGGATTTTTCCGTCCATACTTTGGCTCGTTCGGGGCTCACTTGCCTGTATTTCTTCATCCTCTCATCCATTTTTCTGCAACTTCAAACCCTAGCCGGAATGAATTCGCTGTACAATCGGATATACATTCTGCAAGAAATTGAATTCTCCTAGCAACGATTTGGACTCACAAATGCGCCGAAACTAGAATCGAGCCCGCAAATGCCAAACAGATCTGAATATAAGCTAAAAGAGCTTCAAAATCAAAACCAACAATTCCAATACCGAAGAAAATGCGAAGCTAACAAAGCAGTTTCAAAAATACCAAAGATTCAAAAACAAGGATTAAATGCAAGCAAAACCTAATTAAATGCTCGACAGGAGACGCACACCAGCGCCGGTGGTGGAATCAACCATACGTTTCGAATTTTTCAAGTGCAAAACGGAGGGAATACAACACAACCAGAGCAAAAACTTTTCAAATATAAAAAAAATATATATATATATAAATAAGAAACACAGAAGCAACCGAAATCAGGACGACCTCAATTAATGCAGAGCAAGCCCACTGTGAGTTGGCGACAGCGCTTCGCTTCGGGGAAAGTGATGTGACCAGTTGGGTAAACGACAGAGTGAAAGATAAAGAAAGGTACTGATGAGGAGGGGGGGCGGGGGACGGAGGAGGTTTTAGTTTAGTTAGGGGTTAGGTCGAGCGGAGAGGGATTCGAGGGATTGGAATGGAAATTTGTTGGTGGGGCTGAATGGAGGAGTGTTGGGTAGGGAGGGGGAAGGTAATTGGTATTGGCATTGGCATTCGTGACTCGAAATCAAGGCCAATGCCGCCATACTTGTCGTTGTTGTGTTGTACTCCGCACTGTTTGTTGCAGAGAAGAACAGAACAGTTCAGTTCAGAGAGCAGACGTGACGGAGGAGAGGGCCTCCGCTTCTTTAACCTTTTCAAAAGGTGAAAATGGTTTTGCCCAAATAAATTCACATTTATTTCTTTCTTTCTTTCTTTTCATTACTATTGAAATCAATATGTATATATATATATATATATTATTGTTTAGGGTTTAAAAATAATATATATTTTTTAATATTTTTATATTATTTATATAATTTTTTTACATATTATATATAAAAAATAATAATAGATAATTATAAATTAAAAAAAATTAAATTTTGATTTTTTTCCATCATTTAAATATATATTCAAATATTTTATTAAAAATTACACTTTCACTTAGCAGTTAGCATTCCATACACGTATATGTCACCCGAAATCGAACTTGCGACCAAACCTCCAAACGAGGATATCGTCATTAAATATATGGTTCTTCTATTTTAAAAAAAAAAAAAAATTATTTCAAATAATTTCAATTTTTATTTTTAGTAAAAAAATAAAACAAAATCAATAATGGTCCCAATCATATGTATTTTTATTATTTTATTTATTTAAAATTAATTATCAAGATTAATTTCATATAAAATATTTATATATATTTTTTATGTGACAAATGAATTTTTATTAATAAATATAAATTTCAAATAATATTCAAAAGTTAAATTTAAATTAAAATATCAAACTCGAATATAAACTAAACAAATAAGTAATTTTACTATTTTTATAAATATATAGTATTTTTTTATAGAATATTATCTTCAAATAATTATTATATTTAAATTTAAAATATAAACACAAAAATAAATATAAAACAAGTGTGTTTGTTTTCTATTTCAAAAAAAAATTCGGGTGTTTTTTTTATAAAATAATTTAAAAAAACATATTTTATTTAAGGTATAGAAAATTATGTAAATAATACTCTTTCATGTCCAAATAAAAGGGATCATTTGGGGTTTCGTAGTATATTATAAAAAGTACTTTCATTTTATTAGTTAGTAGGAGTATGTAAGAGTTTTTTACGTTTTTGCTCTTTGTATTTATGTATAAATTAATTGTCTGTCTATTTTTTAATTTAAATAAAAGTTAATAGTATTTTGATATTAATGTATAATTATTTTTTCTAAAAATAAAAAATAGATACTCTGTAGTAGAACATACTAAAATAAAAAGAATACTTTGAATTTGAACGGAGTATAAAAATAATAAATTCGTAAAATATTAATTTTTTAAAAAAATATCTGAATAAAAAAATAAAAAAATAAAAAAGAACACACCCTTCAATTCTCATGCTTTTTAATAAAAACGTGGATTTGTTTGGTTGTGATTAATTTTAAATTGGGCATTAATTTGAAATTTTGTTTAAATAGTATTTTGATGAGATGTTTGATATTTTATAAAAAAATAATTTATTTTTATTGAAAATTGTGTCAATTAAATAATATCTTTTAATTTAAAATGATAAAAAGAACAAACTCATTGTGTGTTTATTTGTAGATATAATTTTTTAGTTTGAATTTTTTAATAGTAAAAATTTATATTTAACTATTTGTTTGATGTGACATATATGTGATATTTTTATAATAAAATTAATTTTTATTATAATATAAAAAAAACTAAAATTAATTTTTCTAATGTTCTTTTAGACAAAATAACATAGTAAATCATATTTTGTTTTCTCATGCTGAAAATTAAATCAAAATCTTATTTAAACTAAAAGTCATATTAGAGTAATGACTATAATTTTTCAAAAATTGTTATTAGTTTTTTAAATTGTGAAATATGTGAACTAACAGAAAAATTTTCAATTATTTTGGACTTAAAAGATAATTAAGTTTTGAGCAAATTAAAGTGAAAAAAAAAAAAAAGTAGTCGAAGAATGTGAGTGCAAGTGAGCTACAAGCTGCCCGACTAATTCCTCTTGCGAGCAGAGGATATACACTTAACAAAACGTATCTAAACACAATCTGAAGTTAGAATTACTACTACAACCGATCATCACACAATGTAATGAAGACTACTACTTCTTACTTGTAGATTCCCTTTAAATAAGACATTATATAATGCACACTCTATCTCTATCACAGCAATCACAAGATTCTATTGTAAGTAAAACAACACATTATACATACACCATGCATAACATAATGCTCACCAACAAACAACCAACCAACCAACCAATTTTGGCACTTGTCTCTCATTCTGACCTCCTCATTTTGACATTGACAGGCCTTTCCCTGTAGGATTGAACCTTTTCGGCCGCTCTGCGCATCGGTCTTCCTAAAGACATCCTTCGCACTTCGCCTCCTGAATTGTCGTCACAGATTGGGCTGTTGGATGGCACAGCAGGAGGCAGAAACTTGGCTTCGTCTATCTCAAACAGCTTGTCGGCAGTTGGTTCCTCGTGCTCGATTTTAGACCTAGCAGACTGTCTCCTCAGACAACGCCTGAAAGAAGAAGTAGATATCAATATCAAAGCTACAACAAGCATGTTTATGATAGGTAAAAAAAGAAGTTGCAAATATGGTGAGTACCTTTTGCTTGTGGCAACTTCCTTTTCAATGTTTGTGTGATTTACTGTGGAACTTCCTAGAGCTGCAAGATAGTTCGAACCACAGGATTAGATACTACTGATAACACGATTCCGGAAATAGAAAAGCAGTGTTTTTTCAATGATTCATTTACATTGACTTCTGGCGGGACGGCCCCTCCTGCTCGCTTTGCAAGTTTTGGTATCCTCTGCAAGTTGAGTTGTCTTGTTTGGTTCCTTCATGTTTCCATTGTAAAACAGTCAGTAAATATCGAGCAAATTATATAGGTGCAGCAATCATACCTCCTGAAATTCGGGTTTTGGAACATTCACTTTCTCCTGCTCCTGGAAAATCAGCTCAAGTCTTAGTGAATATGATATCGTGATATACAAAATCAAGGAACTCGTAAACTATGTCATGTTAAATTGTATTGTTCAATGATCTTTTGGTGGTGTGCAAATGTTCATGTTTAATTTTATTTCAAGAAATTAATGTGCAATTCTTATGAATCAATTTATCAAAATAGGTAAGGATTACTAGAAGGAACTAACACATTCTTGCTCGACAGCAGGGTCAAATCAATGGTAGTCGAGGAGGCAAAATGTCTAGCAGATATGAATGATTTAATCATAGCTAAAGCATGCAGGAATCACCTTCACCAACACCGTAATCAATCATCCGACAGTTAATCTCAACAACTAGATATAAGCTTACCTTCAGCTCTGAATTCTTTGCTTTGAGAATGGCTTCCTTACATATAATCTCATGTTGTAATGCTTTTAACTGCAAAGAAAAACATGTCATTTTAGTGTTCAGGAAATAAGGTTAAAGAATGAACTTATTGACAGAAAGTATAACTTAATTAATATCCAATAAGGAAACACAAAACTGTAAACCAACATATATAGAACAGGACATGACCATAATCTTAACGTTCTAAAACTGAGAAAAAAATTGCGGCTGCTACTATATATGCTGCTACAAAACCACTCAATTTAGTTCAATGTAAATAATATAGAAACCTAAATGCCAAATATCTCGAAAAGATATCAAAACCTTACGATCTTATGTTTGTGTTTCTATTATAGTGTCAAAGGTTAAAGGCCTGAGACTCTCTTTCTTGAACTTGCACTCCTTGAAATCTCAAAGCATCAAATCAAGAGATGATTTTTAGTAACTTTTGGTACTTGAAAACCTTGGTTACAAAAAGAAATATATGGAGAAATTATACACTGACAATTTTACGTGATTCATTGGTAGATACAAATATTCCACGAATCTTATATTGTTATCATTCTTCCTAGCAATGAACATATGATCTCCATAACTTCTGTCATTCACTACTGGTTTTATTGCATCATTTTCAATATTCTATCTCTTTTCATTACAATTTGAAAATTCTACAAGAATATAAAAGCAAAAATACCTTACAGCTCTGCAAACTAATCAACTAATATGTGTGATATCCCCGTATTTGAGTGGAGTTTAAGTAGATTGATCAGACTACTCATGCTTATTCTACAGCAATTTTAAGCCTCCCAAGATGCACGTGAGTGAGGATAAGGCAGGGTAGAAGGACCGAAAGAATTTGTATTGATCCATGGGGCATTCTAGGATCTTGCATAAAGGACATGTAGAACTTGTGTTATTTGTGGTCTTACAACATGCCCCAGCTTGCAGAGTGAGAGGAAGATAGCTGGCTGGGGTGTTACAAATGGTATCAAAGCCGACACATAACAATGCTATAGTTGAAAGAACTAGTGACAGCCTAGCAGGTAAAGATTGCACCATAGTTAAGAGCTAGTGGCTGGCCTAGTGAGGCAGAGATTCTTGGGGTGCAACAAATACGTTGTACTCTTAAGTTGGGGGGAGTGATACCCCGGATTTGATAGAATCTAAGTAGATCAATTGCACATTCCTTTTGATAAGCAATTTCAAGATGGGAAACCTCTTAACTGTGACCTCCTAATAAGTCTCCCCCGGGGTACGCGAGAGGGGGTGGCCAGCCGGGGTGTTACACTATGACTACTCATGTTCAAGATAAGGTCCAGTCTCTCAGACTTTAGGAACACAAGACCATCAAAATGAAGAAAAGACATGGGAAACAACAAAATAAGGATTCAAACTTGGCTAGGAGTGTCAAAATCAAATATGGTGTAAAAAGTAGTGAGCTATTCCATAATCCATAGAGAAAATAACAAAATAGCCATCCACATATATAAATTAAGGAACACATAGGTTTCGGACGAATATTTCGATTAAACCCACAGAGCATATTCATTGCACAACTAACAAACTAAATACATTTCAAAGAAAAAAAAACACCACCTAAAACTTACCCTTTGTTTTCCCAAATTGAGTTCCTGCACAAGAAATTCGGCAGTTATTAAAGGCACTGCATTATCTCAATCATTTGCATAATTGAGAATAGACAAAATTGTAAGAACAAACTCACTGCTGACATGTGGCTGTTGGCTTGAGCAAGGCTCCAATTCTGAAGCTGCATCTTCTGTAAACAGTTCTTCAGATTCCGAATCTCAGTTCCACTCAAATCTATAATTTTACTGTTCCAAAATTCAATTGAAAATAAGAAAAATCAAGACTACTTTTATTGGAGCATTTCATCGAACACATAGACAACGGCAAACATAACCAATTGCAAATTACTTTTTCTCTTGAATAAGCTTCATCAAGGCCACTTTTTCCTGCACAACAGAATTGATATCCATAAATAAATTAAAAATAAATCTTAGAACTGTGAATCTTCATTGAACTAGAAATCTGAATCAATTAAATAGAAAATTCCTACCTTGACAAGGTGGTCGACAAGTACCTTCGCAGCACCAGCATCAGATGCAAACTTTTCGGGAATTGAAGGAGATTTTAGCTGCGGAATCGAATTAGTGATGTCTGAAAGTCTCCTTCTCATAATGCTTCCAAAGGACGATCTTCTCGCGGTTGTATCGCTTTTCATCTTAACCTTATAATCACAATTCACACCACACACCGTCGGAGGCTATGTACTCAAAAATCAAGAAATTAAATAGCGGTTTTTCAAGAAATAAATCGAGAACAAACCATCACCTTTTCTTCCAACACTATAACAATCAAGAAATTAAAACCTAAAACTACTCCAAAAGCAGATTCTGCTCGAATTAACCGAAACAAGGGTATCAAGTATCAACACCAAACTGGATAAAACAACGCCCTGCAAATGGGCGCGCAGTAAAATTGCAAAGTGAGAGATAAAGAACAGGGAAGCGCAGGAAGGCGCTGATAGAGAAAGCTAAAGGAAAAGAAAGAACAAAGCGGAAAGAAGAAAGAAGAAAGCCATTAAAGATAGAATTCAGTTTTAAAAATTTGGGGATCCAACGGCTCTCCGAACCACAGGCATGGATTGATACGAGCCTAGTATATTTACACCGAGCCCAGTCCTTCTATAGGCTCGGTTTCGTTTATTGGAATTTTAAAATACAGAAAATTAGAATTATTTATCAGTGCCTAGTGCGTGGTTAATCATAGTAATTAAAAACTCTTATAATTTTAAAAGTACATTAAAAAAGTACTATGCCAGTAATCTATATGCATTATTGCGATTAAGATTTTTATTTTCATTTTAATATTGCATATTGTTAGTTAGTGTAGTATTTATTATTCATTTTTTTTTTTTCTTTATGATATGAGAATTCGCAATCGCTGTCGAAATTTAATATCGACTTTAATCACTTATTTTAGTTGTCTTATTATCGTGTGTGTATATATATATATATATATAAAAGTAACAAATTGATTATTATTGTTAAAATAATATAAAGTGTTTGTTAGGGGTTTAAGTTTTTTTTTTTTTTTTGAATTTAAATAATAAAAATTTTGAATTTGGTTTGATATATATGTATGTTAATGTGATAATGTAAAATTTACCTTTTTAATATAGTATAAAAAAAACAAAATAAATATTTGACTTAATATTTATTTTGAAAAAGAAAAAATTAATGAAAAATAGAAATTTGATAAAAAAAAGTACACTCATAATAAAATTGGAAGTTAATAATTTTTTTTTCATTATAAATAAATTATGTATAAATTCATCTGCTAATAAAAAGATATATAAATTCAATTGAATAAAAAAGCAAATATAATTAAGCCAGTAATATTTAAATAATTGTATCAAAGTAAAAACTAACAATTAATTTTGGACTAAAGTAGCATGATATATAGGTATGTTTACATTTTTTTTTATAATGTGTTTTTAAGTTAGATATGATGAAAATAGTATAAAAATTAATATGGGTGTGTTAAATTTTTAAGATAATTTGAATGAGTATTTTTTTATATGAGATAGGTGAAATTTGGTAAGGAATATAAAAATAATAAAATATGCATGATATATTAATATTTTTTAAAAACGTATGAGAAAAAAAAAATTGAAAGAACACAATTAAAATATTTTAAGTTGATTTAGTGAAGGTTTGATTGTTTAATATTTTGATTTTTAATTTTTTTTATGTGAAAGATAGAGAATTATTCATTAATATGAAAATTAATATTTTATATTGAAAATTGACTTTAGTAAAAAAATAAAATATATATTAAAAATAGTGTAAAAAGAAGGCAAATAAACACTTATTTTTTGTGATAAATAAAATACATATTGTTGGCCCAAAAAATGATTAAACACCTAGCAGCAGTAAACTTAAAACATTAATACAAAAAATTCATCAGTACAGACTCATTGTTTGTTGGATAATCGGACCATAAATGTACATTCTGGTGACAAGATCAGTAAATAACAAAAACAAGTGTTAATCCAGTTCGATACAAGACCTACATAAGGGGGTTTCAATCTAGACGTGATTCACTATCGAAACCATTGAAGTACAAGAATATGGAGATACAATCAAATTACACAGAAATCATCATCATAATTTCTTGATTATTCCCAACTCTAAACCTATCCCCCAATCATTCTCACTGCGATCAAAGAATTAATTTACTACAATCTTTTTTGCTATGAATTTTTTTCGTAATAAAAACTTGTCATTCGATTACAAAATAATTTGTAGATAAAGATGAATTATTTACTATGTCTTATAATTTTATAGCCAATTGTGGCCCAATGGCGACAAACTATAAAAATTTTATAGCTAAAACTCTTTTAATTTTACCTTTTATCCAATTTATTTTTTTAAAAAAAAAAATAAAATTATGAAGTTTCTAAAAATTCCTATATCAATAATAAAATCGTAAATAGAAATACTTACTACTAGAAAAGAAAAAAAAACAAGTGGCACGGTTCAATTAATACAGCGTGTTCCGAATGCAAACTTGATACCGATATTTATATCAAAATTAATAAAATATATTTTTCATGTAAAATATTGTGTATTATTATTTATTTATATATTATAAAATAAAAATGTTAAAAAATATATAGGTAAAACATGGTTTTTAAAAAGTTAGTTTTAAAATATAAATTATAATATTTTTCACATTTTTTTTTCTCGATTTAGTCCAACGCCTTATTTTTAGAAGTTAAAAGAAAATACAGAGACAGATTGGGTGAATCGCTATTTTCTATATTCATCCCTGGAGAAATTGGAATCAAAGCTCATATTCTATTTTTTTTTGCAGGAAAGAAGCAGCAGTTAATCTCTGGATTATTTTGTTATGGAGAGGTTCTACTGATGCAGCGTCAGAGTAAGATCAACTATTAGGGTTTAATTTACAGCATTTTATTCCTGAGAGCTTTTTCTCTGTAAATCGACCTTAAATGTGAAAAAACAGAGCGATTTTGAGGGCGGATTGCTACCACGACAGAAGTCACGGCACCGATTGCAAATATGCTGCTACAAGTTCATGATGATTTCGGATTAAGTCAGATCGTAGTTTCTTAATATCGTTCTGCTACGCTTCCATCCGATTTGAACTCAGATTCGCCGCCATCATAGGTACCTTCCTTCATTTGAGTTCGCTAGGTTTAAAATAAGATTCTCTCATCTATCCCTACCATCTTCTTCTTCTTCTCTATTGCAAAACTAAGTCAATAAATTCCATTGTTTTGTTTCCCGTATCTTTATGTGCATTTCGGATGTTGATTGTCTGGTGTTCAGCCATTGATTGCGTGGATTAGTTGCAGAATTCTTTCTCTTTTTTGTTGGAGCAAATGATTTGAAGTACTTTAAGCGTAGAAAATTGATAGATTAGTTATTCTAATAGAAGTAATTTTATGTTAGATGATAACTTCATAAAAATGTTGGGCCTTACGGGTTATGTTGATGGTGGTTGTTCACTATGTTTGAGATTCGTGCCTCTTGCACCACCATCATTATCATGGCCAGATTAAGCACTGTTGCCTAAACCACATCAGCGCCGGGTTGATAGTGCAGAGACGAGTATGAAAAAATAGCGCCATTAGGACATCAATGATCATGATTTTATGCTTTTTTTTTTGTTTTTTATATAGATATTGAGATGTTTTAGAAAATGATAGATTTTTTCCATTGATTCTTGTTAGAGTTGAAGTGTGTTTATCTCTTTGCATTGTTGATTATTTTCGACTAATTCAAGATTTTATCCAATTACAGCCGATGTTGTTATCACATTTTAAAAACTATCTAGGGTCAACGTTAATTTGATTTTTGACAATAAATGGACAGAGGGAGGTCAACACACAAAACAACAAACATTCACTTAACAACGTCAATTATATATCCTATCCATATCTCGGCACATGTGTATTTTGCCGAATGCATTTGTCAAAATTTTGTTATTCATTATTTTTTCTAAAATATAATTAAATTTTTATTTTTACATTATATTACAAATTTATTTTATATATACAAAATAGTAATATCTATTTATTTTATCATATACACTACAAGAAAATATTATTTTTGTAACGAAATTTTTTCGTCATTAAATTCACTTTTTCCGTTGCTAATTATATTAGAGACGAAATTAATGATGGAATTACGTTAGCTACGTGATCTTTTAGTGACGGAATTCAGTTACAAATATACAATTTTTTATTTTTATTTTTTTGTGATAACTCTCAAATTTAAATTTTTAGTGTTAAAAACTTAAATTCAAAATATAAAAAATGCCATGTGCGGCCCGGCCCTGTCCGTCCGTACTACATCAGAAGCGATCCTGCACGGTATTATATTCACTTCAATCGCATCCACTGTACGATGAGTTAATCATCGGCAGAAGTAACAATAATACAAGACTGATCACTTGGCATCGTACTATAATTGATTTCCCGACAACCTTAATTAATTAATTTCTACGACCTCAATCCCATTTCAGTAGTCGGCGGCTGCTGCTGTTGTTCAGCTTCAGCTTCAGCTCCACCTCTAAACTTCTTGTATATGTCCCCTCTGTAGAACTCCCTCGTCCTCACCACCAGAACCACCGAAACCGCCGCCCCAAACAGCGTAATCGCCGCCAGAATAAGAAACGCCGACCGGTAGCAGCGCGAGCCGATGCAAGTCAGCTCCTTCACATCGGCGCGGCTCAGCCCCTTCCTGGCCAGCTCCCTCAGCGCCTCCCGGTCGTACATCGGACCGGTCACCTTAACATTCAGGACGTACGACCCCAGCGGGCTCGCCAGCTGCCCGCAATTGAACAGGGTCGAGTAGTACTTGAGTCCGAATAGCTCCGAAATTATGGCGAATATCAGCGGCAATTGGGCCCCGAATGAGAACCCGATTATAACCGAAGCGATGTAAACGGAGCCCCGGAACGGAAACGCGATCAGAATCAGGCCCACGGAGGAGAGGAGGAGGACAACCGTCATCATCAGAGGCCGCGGGAATTTGTACCTCGACAGAAGAGTTTCCGACACGAACCCGGAGAAGATCCTGCCGAAGTAATTCCAGATGCTTAAGAGAGACACGAAGGAGCTCACCGTCTTCGTTGGGTACCCCAACGACTCCCCGATCTGTCCCAGGTTGTCCACCGCCGTCAAGCTCGAACCCAGCCCGCAGAACGTCGCCAGGAAGAGGATTACCATGTCGGTGCTTAGTAAAGCCTGTAAGATCGTGTAGTCTTCCCCCCTCTGTGGCTTGTTCAGAAATATCTCAGCAAACCACGACGCAGAGGAATTCAATTTAGGTTCAATTGAATTTTGATTTGGGATATTAGGGTTAGGGTTAGGGTTAGGCCTGGGGACGTTTTTGTCTCGATTGCGCCAAATTGCAGACTCTTCTCTAATGGCGATTAAAAGAGGGACGAAGAGCAGAGCAGAGACGGCGGTGGCGCTGGCGGCGTAGGCGGCCTGGGAGAAGGAGACGAGCTTCTGGAGAATAGTCATGGCCATGATGAAGATGGCGAGGAAGATGGAGACGTAGAGGAAGTGGTAGAACACTCTAAGCTCGTTAGGACGACGGGGAGCAGTAATTGCACGAACCGTATAGACGAAGACGACAGAGAGCGCGGCGGGGAGCCAGGCGATGAGGAGGATGAGCGCCTTGGAGTCGTTTCCGTAGACGGCTAAGTAGAGCTGAGTGAGGATGGCGCCGCTGAGGCCGGTGAAGCCTTTGAGGAGGCCGAGGACGACGCCGCGGCTCTCCGGGAAGTTGCGGACGGAGGTGACCAGCGCGCCGGTGTTGGCGAAGTTCTGCGAGTTGGCGCCGAGGCAGATGTAGGCGCACATCTGCCAGACGGCTGGCTTGGGGATGCGCCGAGTCACGGCGAGCCAGATGGCGAAGTAGCCGGCGAAGTTCGCGGCGGCGCCGATGAGGAGGACGAACCACGTGGGGGTGACCTCGGCGATGAGCCCCGACAGGACGCCGACGTTGGCGCCGAGGTCTTTGAAGAAGCCGAGGAGGTTGAGGGTGGTCTGGTCGTAGGCCAGCGTGGCTTTGATCTCTTTGGAGTAGACGCCGAAGAGGTAAGTGGCGCCGGCGCCGGCCATGATCAGGAATGACGCGAAGAGGGAGAACCACCGCCCCTGGATTACGTGCGCAGCGAAGGCCGCCATTCCGGCGGGGGTCGCCGCCGCCGACGACTCGACCATAGTCGAGTTCCGGTGAATGTGAGGATAAAGACGAGATTTTTTATTTTATTATTATTATTTTTTTATTATTATTACGCAATTTTACGATAAGAACATAATGTGTATTAATTTGTACTCCTATGTATGTATGTATGTATGCCTCGGTGTGCGTGCTTCTATTTATTTATTTCTTTATGTACGACGAACTTATCGCGTCAGGTACAGGAGATGGCTCGATTAGGCAACTCGCCTGTTACGGTTACTCATTTTTAACATTCCTATTTTTGCAGAATTTATCTCTATATTTTTATTTTTTTATATTCTCAGTTAATTTGTCGGAAATAATTAAAAAGTGTATTAATAAAAATAATAATAATTTAATAAAATAATTATAAATTAAAATTACAATGACTAAATAATTTAAGTAAAATAAAAAAATTATAAATTATGAATTTTAAAATATAATTAAAATATATAATTATATTTTTAAAAAATAAATTATATAGGACTGAGCGAAATAGAGCAAAATATTATTTTATATAATTTTTAAATTTATAAATACATTCAATATTTTACTATTTTTATACATTTAGCTTATAATAATATTTTTATTAATATTTTTTAAATATTATATGGATAAATTATACTCCCTCCGTCCACTTATAGTGTTTACATATTTTTATTTTGGGAGGTCTAATTACAAAGTTAATATTTCATTAAATACTCTACTTTTTTCCACAAATACCCTTATTTTACATCACATCATTACTTTTACACAAAAAATAAGGGCAAAAATATCATTGCACTACTTTTAACTACTCACTATAATTAAAATACTATTATTTCTTAAACACCTCGCCAAAAGTAGATGTAAACCTTGTAAATGGACCGAAGGAGTATTTATTACTTTTATTGTTTAATTATAAAAAAATAATATATATTTAATTTAAATAAATTAAATTTCAATGTTATTATAAATATTTTATATGAAATATAAATAAAAACTAAGCAATATTATTTGATTAAACATAACATCAATTAATTTAAATTTAATATAAATAATTTATAATTATTTTATCATAATCAATTAACTATAAATTTCAATAAATATTAAATAAATAATTTACTATAAATATCAATTACAAAATTATAATATAAATAACTTATTTTATAAATAATAAAAACAAAATTAATAATAAATAAATAAGACAAAATGTGTAATTTTAAAACAAAATTAATTTAAAATATAAAAACAATTTAAAAAGTCAAAAAAAAAATAACATAGATAGAATATAAATATAATTTATTTAAAAAAAAAAAAAAAACTAAAAATAGCACCTTTTCCGATGAGATGAATAAATTTGTATAATTGCATAATAGATTGGAATTTATTTTTTTTCTTTTCACAATGAAAAAATAGAGAAAAATCATCTGCTATGGAGATGGTGTTTAAACCAATTTTAGAGTTTTGAAATATTTTAATAATAACATTTTGAAATATTTTTTTCTAAAAAAATAATATAAAATGTTGATATGTAATTTGATATTTTTTAAAAAAAAAAATTTAATATTTTTTCCAAGAAATAAAAAAAAAACTGCCAAATACTTAAAATTGTTGTGTAAACATAACCTAAATATTTAATGCCCACTCTCCAAAAATATCTACATAAATAATAATGTGTGAGGCAAATGTCCTCGGTGGATGGCTGAGGTGTGTGTGCTTAAAATAAGTATGAATCATTTTTTTTTTTTCAAAAATTCTTCTATCCAACCTCAATAGTTATAGATTTTTTTTTTTTCAATTTTAATATTATTTATTATTTATTTATTTTTTAAAAAAATATGAATATTATATTTGTCCCTTATACACTGTAGATACAAGATTTTATAAATCATATAACTAATAAGTAATTAAAATATATTAGTAATCGTAAATTATAAAAAATTGACTATTCAATATATTATTTCATGTGAAAAAAATTATACTTTTTCTGTCCTTTAAAAATATTTTTATTTCTTTTGTGATGTAAATCAAATTTTTTTATTTATATATTCTAATTATATAGGTAGATAATATTATTTTTTATTAATATAATATACCATTGTTATTTTATATATTATAAATTTAATTTCAACAAGATATCTGTCAGATCTTTCAGTTTAACCAAATCTATTTAAATAATATTTTTATTTTTTTATGTAAACAAAAAATCAAAATATATACGTTGTTATCAATTATTCCCGACTTCAATTATTAGTCAAAATTGGAGATTTTTTTATTATTATAATAATGAGACAGGGGATGCTTTCACTTTTTTATGTCGTACTATTTTTGGAATTGTTACGTACGAAATTTAGAATTAGGTTAAAAGCCCAAGGTAAAAAAGAAGAATGGGCCTGGCAATAGGGTTGATTGAACTGGCTGAAGGACACCGTGAGGAAATCAAGGAAAATAAATTTATTTATTTATTTCTAAGGAAAATACAGGACGGAAGGACTTCAGGTCGGTAGGTCCTCAGGACGGAAAGACCTCAGGTCGGAAGGTCTTCAGGTCGGTAGGTCCTTAAGACGGAAAGTCATTAGGACGGAAGGACCTCAGGTCGGTAGGTCCTCAATACGGAAGGACCTCAGGTCGGAAGGTCTTCAGGTCGGTAGGTCTTCAAGACGGAAAGTCATTAGGACGGAAGGACCTCAGGTCGGTAGGTCCTCAAGACGGAAGGACCTCAAGTCGGAAGGTTTTCAGGTCGGGAAGTCCTCAAGACGGAAAGACCTCAAGTCGGAAGGTTTTCAGGTCGGGAGGTCCTCAAGACGGAAAGACCTCAAGTCGGAAGGTTTTCAGGTCGGGAAGTCCTCAAGGCGGAAAGACCTCAAGTCGGAAGGTTTTCAGGTCGGGAGGTCCTCAGGACGGAAAGACCTCAAGTCGGAAGGTTTTCAGGTCGGGAAGTCTTCAAGGCGGAAAGACCTCAAGTCGGAAGGTTTTCAGGTCGGGAGGTCCTCAAGACGGAAAGACCTCAAGTCGGAAGGTTTTCAGGTCGGGAAGTCCTCAAGGCGGAAAGACCTCAAGTCGGAAGGTTTTCAGGTCGGGAAGTCCTCAAGGCGGAAAGACCTCAAGCCAGATGGTTCGCAAGTCGGGAGGATTGGCGGTCGGACCCATACTATTGTAGATTGGCAGTCGGGCCAAAAGAGCGGAAGGTCTGTGGTCGGCTCAAGGAGTGAAATATAGGGAATTTTTGGTCTGCTGGGGACACGTGTCAGCATAAGAAAGGTTGGAAGACGGTTGAGAAGGAGACGTTGTAACCGTTCGGGTGACGGTTTTCAGTACGGTTTCCCAGGGAATATTTAAGGATTTGGATCATCATTTGGCAAGGGATCTTCAATCAACTTCAACAAAGCAAAGTCAGATTTGGGGATCACCACTTTAAATTTCAGTCTTTTATTTTCCAGTTTATTTTCTGTATCATACAGTGTTTAGAGATTCCTAATCTCAGGCACTAATTAATCAAGTTTAAGGATATTTTCTATATCTTTGAATTTTACTTTATTTTTGTTGAAAAATTACATCAACAAATTGGCGACCACAGTGGGAGCAAGACAAAATTGCTCATTCCAATTCCGGCGATAATTTCATACGTCTTAGATCCGGCCGAATCATCGGAAGGGTCCATATGGCAGGGTCACAACCGCAAGCATCTTCGACACCGGTGGGAGAATCCGTTCCACCACCCATTGTGCCAAATGCCGGGGACATCCCACAACCACCAACTGATTGGTGGTCTTATGTTCAACAAATGAACAACCAGCATACCTTGGTTATGCAGAATATGTTGCGTGAGCAACAAACGAACATGTTGCGTGAGCAACAGAGTCAGTTGCAGAACATGATAGATCAAGCATTGTCAAGGGTTAGTCTTCAACCCACTCAAACGCCACCAGGAGTGTCACCGTCCAGACCACAGGCAAATTTCGCAGGGCCATCATTCGTGGATAGTACATTCCCAAGTGCCACAAATCCCAACCGAATGGATCGGGGAAAAACTCCTTTGACTTTTCCCAACAATGTTCCACTGGGACCAAGGGTTACCAATTCGCAGCCGAACAATACAAGGGAGGACAGGCCTGAAGGATATATACATGATCCGATTCATATTCCTGTGCAGGATCCGTTCCAGGTTCCTGATCATCAACGCTTTCATGTAGATCCTGATGAGATTGCACATATATTAAGGGATCAGTATGGATTAACTCCTCAGATGGCTAACCGCCCTGCATATCAAAGACCTTTCCCAGAAAGGATCATTCATGAACACCCTCTCCCAAGGAATTTTCGACCACCCGACTTTCATGCATTCTCAGGGGAGGACGGATCTTCCACCATAGAACATGTTGGTCGGTTCACAGCACAATTAGGAGAGGTTGGCAATAACCCTTTTTATAAGTTACAGCTGTTTGGTTTGTCTCTTACCAGAACGGCGTTTTCATGGTTTGTAAGTCTACCTCCTGGACAAATTCAGACATGGGAAGGATTGGAAATGGCATTTCACGCTAGATTCTTTAATCCTTTACCAGTTGTTTCTTTAACTGATTTACTTGAATTGAGACAGTATCCAGAAGAAACTGCTTCACAGTTTATAGAAAGGGTGCGATTGATGAAGGGACGATGTCCTACGGTAATCAGTGAGAAAGAGATGACCAATTTAGTGGTCCGGAATATGCATAATCGCTTAAGAAAGGCACTCACTGCCCTGGATGTTGAGGATTTGGCAAATCTTGCATCCAAGGCAGGACGTCTAGAGTCTTTGTTCAGAGAGGAAGATCAGCATAACAGGCGTAATAGAGGCCAACATATGGCGAGTATGGGAACAGAAACATGCGACTTTGATTTTAATCAGTCAGAAGAGATGGCAGCCGAAATCCTTTCTGGAAAACCGTATGTATGTCCTAAATTGAAGCCAGTACCAGGATCTGAAGGAAAGGAGCAACCGACCTTTGATAGTTCGAAAGCTGATGAAATCTTTGATATCCTACTGACTGATGGGCAGATTCGTATTCCAAAGGGCCAAAGACTTGCCACTAAAGAAGAAATCAAAGGGAGACCATATTGTAAGTGGCATAATTCTTTCACACACACTACA